TTCCTGCATCCAACGCACAACCCTGAGAGAAAAGAAATGCTAGATAGATAGATAGAGAGAGAGAGAGAGAGAGAGAGAGAGAGAGAGACAGAGAGAGAAAAGAGAGAGAGAGAGAGAGAGAGACAGAGAGAGAAAGAGAGAGAGAGAGAGAGAGAGAGACAGAGAGACAGAGAGAGAAAAGAGAGAGAGAGAGAGAGAGAGAGAGACAGAGAGAGACAGAGAGAGAAAAGAGAGAGTGCGAGAGAAAGAGAGAGAGAGAGAGTCAGACAGAGAAACAGATAAACAGAGAAAAGAGAGTAGGAGAGCGAGAGAGAGAGAGAGAGAGAGAGAGAGAGAGAGAAAAAGACGGACACAAAAACAGAAGTTGGAGAGAGAAAGAGAGAGAAAAGAGAGAGTGGGAGAGATGGAGAGAGAGAGAGAGAGAGAGAGAGAGAGAGAGAAAAGAGAGAGTGAGAGAGAAAGACAGAGAGTGGGAGAGATGGAGAGAGAGAGAGAAAGAGACGGGTGAGAGAGAAAGATAAAAAGAGAGAAAAAAAGAGGGAAACAGCAATAGAGAGAGACAGAAAGAGGGAGAGAGAGAGTGAGATACAGACAGAGAGAGAGAACACAGAAAGTAAATAGAGAGAAGTAAGATATAGAAAGAGAGTATAGAGAAGAGAAAGAGTGGAAGAAGGAGAAATGGAGAGAAGAAGAGAGAAAGAAAGAGAAACAAAATGTGATACAGAAAGAGAGGGACAGAATAGAGACAGTGGAGAGAGAGAGGGGGGGGAGACAGAGAGACACAAAAAGAGAAGTTGGAGAGAAAAAGATAAAAAGAGGGAAACAGCAATAGAGAGAGACAGAGAGAGAGAAAGAAGGAGAGAGAGTGAGATACATAGAGAGAGACTTTTAACCCCCTTTTTATTGAAGAATTAAGAGAGAGAGAGACAGAAAGAGCGACAAAGCAGGGAAGAGAAAGAGGGACAGAGAAAGACAGAGAGAGAGGGGAACAGCAAGAGAGAGAGAGAGCAAGAATGAGAGAGAGTGTGGGATACAGACAGAGAGGGAAAGAGAGAGCACACAGAAAGTAAACAGAGAGAAGTAAGATAAAGAAAAAAGGTATAGAGAAGAGAAAGAAAGAGAAACAAAACATGATAGAAGAAGAGAGGGACAGGATAGAGAGAGAGAGCGAGAGAGAGAGAGAGAGAGAGAGAGTGAGAATGCGTGAGTGCCCAAAAATTCTATAGGCATATTGCTTTGAATAAAATCTATTATATAAAAAATAACCTATTAGGAAAGCCTGATGCTGTATAGGAAAAACATTGTAAACTCAGTTCAAACTCAATTGCTTTGATATCATTTTCTGTGAAAGTGTCTGACCTGCATCTGATTCTCTCTCGGTTCTCCACAACACTGTAAACACACTCAAACAGAGGCTGATTCGCTGAAAGACATAATAAAGCTAATTTTACAGTGCTGAGTTCAGTATAACTGTGTTTTATTAATATCCGCCGATGTGTTTATGCAGAAAATGAGTGCGAAGCTGAACGCAGAGGAATCATCAATTAGCCCTGAATGAAACGCACACTCAACCATTCATAAACTCCCAATTAATGTAATTGATCTGCAACGTGGGCTCCGAGACCAGCGGCTGCGCGCGGCCCGTGATGGATTCTGAGTGCCTTAAGAAAGGTCACATGACTAAATCCCGCCATTAATTTCCCTAGACTAATTATTGGAAGCTCACCTATTTCCAGCGAGTCCTTCATCAATTACATCTGTAATGAACTTCCTGCATGCAAACAAGCCAGTAGATCTCATTAATTTCTCAGCGAGTTATTCATTCTGATGAACCGCAGCACTGACTGCTTAACAAAACTGCGTTATCAGGCGCATAGTTACACTTCTAACACCTGATTGGCCACATAAGCAGTTAGCAACATCTGCCCCACACTGGCAACACCACGCTAAGCCCTCATGTCATGGCTTATAGTGGGGTTGCCAACCTAGGGGCCCTGACATTGGGGGCCCACAGGTGCCCTGGTTTACTGACTGACTAGGGCCCCAACATTTTTTGCCCATTGAGAATGTATACATGCATCCGATAATCCGATAACTGCAGAAAATCAGATTTTGTCAGTAATCGATCAACGCGTTTACATGAACTTGAGTAATCAGATAATGGGGAAACTCCGGGTCTACATGAGTCAGACAGTAATCAGATTTCTGCTTTACAACCAGCCAATAAACTCACAGAAGAAGACGTGGTGTAAACGTAACGTAAACTCAAACTTCATGCTGCAGCTTTTTAAAACACATTACTTTACCTGAAAATTTGAACATACATCATCCAGAAGACGAAGAATATTTAAATCCTTCATTCGTTTGGCCTCAGTGGTGCCAGTAGCACTGTCAATATATATAAATGTTACCCTGAAATTATGATGTTAAGACATATCTGTTCTATAACATGTATAAACATGACTGCAAAGAAATTCTGTTCATTAAAAAAACTTAAAACTATAACACTTACCTGTAAATAATCAGAATCCAAAGCTTGAAGTGTGCAAAAATGTGGCTCACCAAGGTTTCATCTGCATGTGAGGTATAGAACTGCTGCAGAAGAAGAATGACCAATGTCCAGAAACGTCTAACCTCAGAGACCTTCTAACCACACAAACTTCAACTTAACAACACACTCAGAAACACTATGGAGGACATTAATACAGTTAATTAAAAATTGTAATAATTAATGCAAAACAAATGTACACATAAATAAAGTCTGACGCTTTTGTATACACTAATAATTACAGAACAAATATTCTCTATAGAGTTTAAATCAGGAATCTTATCTCTTTGCTATTATTCAGCAATTTTTTGATGCTGTTTGACTTTTTATTTAGTTTTACATTGAAATTATATTGATGATATTGAAGACATTCATAAAACGAATGTCATAGCAACATTCAAATGACTTTAATATACCAACATTGAGGACACGTTGTACCTTAATGTCATAGAAAAACTGAAATAATGTTGACATACCAAAAAGACATACCAAAGACAGGCTCAAAACTTATAATAATGTTGAAAATATGTTGATGTGTTGGATTATCTGTGCACTAAGTGCTGTGTACTGCCCATTCAAATCAATTAAGGGCCCGCCATGGGCTAAATGATGTGGAATGACCCATAGTGAGCCTGTGTCCAACAGTGTACTGCCCACCCAAATCCAATAAATTCTATTATGGGTCCACAGTGGGGTAGCTGACCCACACAGGGGATGCTAAACAATGGGTTATGGTACATTAGCCTCAGTGATGTATAACTGTGCTTTTAAAGGAATTCCAATGGATACCATATTTCCAATACACTCTATAACTCAACTAAATATGTTCTATAATTACAGGATCTAAAGCTGGTCTAAAATCCTGCTAAATACATTAATGTACACTCTAAATATACTACATCATGGAAATATACTGCAGCCAACACAACTATACTATACAGTCATTTCACAAAAGTGCCTTTGTTCATATTATCAGGTGTGAAAGTTTAATATTCATCAAAAGGATTAAGGGATGAGAGGATATAGACGTGCATCAGATCCGTTAACCTAGAATGTGGCAGTTGGTGTTTTCACAGTCGTCAGATCCAGAGGGGAAGCCTCAGGGCCTTGTAGACCTTCGGGGACAGCATACTGATTTAAAAATACATCTTTTTAAAGTTTATTTGTGTTTGATAGAATCATTAAACTGGTTGGAATTTAAACTCTGCAAATATTGTAGCAGTACTCTTATTTCACTGTCCAGTTTTGGTTGGACACAAACTTGGCCACTCTAATACCTTTTTTTTGTTGTTTCTTTTGAGCCATTCAGAGGAGGACTTGCTATTGTGCTGTTGCTACATAACCCAACTGTGTTTGAGCTTCAGACCACTGACTCATGACTGGATGTTCTTCTGCATGACTTTCTGGTAGAGAGCAGAATTCATGGTTCCATCAATTATGACAGGTTGCCCCCAGGCCCAGCAGCAAAACATCCCCATACCATTGCACTACCACCACCATGTCTCACTGTTCGAATGATGTTCTAATTTTGGAATGCTGTTTTTATGCCAGATGTAATGGCACTCCTGTTTTCCCAAAAGTTCAATTTCTGACTAATCTGTCCTCTTTACAGAATGTTTGGAGATCATCAGGGTGTTTTTTTAAGGAAATGTGAGATAAGCTTTTATGTTCCTCTTAATTAGCAGTGTTTTTCACTTTGCAACTCTCCCATGGATACCATCTTTGTTTCTGATGTTTCTTTAGATGGTTTCTTTCTTTAGATGTTCGTCTCGGATCTTTTGTGTTTTCCTGGATAAGTTGTCACAGTGCTCTTGGAGGAACTTTGATAGGCCAGACACTTCTCTACTGTTTTCATCATTTGGAGATAATGGCTCTCACTGTGCTTCGCTGGAGTGCCAGAGCCTTAGAAATGGCTTCGAAATCTTTTCCAGGCTGACATATCCTGATAACTTCCCTTCTTACCTACAGAATCTCTTTTAATCACAGCATAGTGTGCTGCTTCTTGAGTTCTTTTAGCCTACTTCATGTTGCTGGAATGGTTCAATTTAAGTGATGTTTCACATCAAGGTGGGGCAGTGATCAAGCTGAGTCTAGTTTGATCGATCCCAATATTTAACTGCATTTGGTTAATCGTCTATTTGAGTTACTAAAGGGGCTATTACCTTTTCACACTGGGGTCACTTGGCGTTGGATTTTTTTTTCCTTCAATAAATGAAGCAATCATTAGAAAACTTCTCTGTGTTTACTCAGGCTCTGTCTTTATATTAAAATTAGTTTGAAGATCCAAAAACAATCACAAGTAACAGATATGCTTCACTAGAAGAAATAAGGAGGGGGCAAATACATTTTCACAGAACAGTAGGTTATGAAAAGGTTGGGATCAATTAGCTCATGTGAAACGAGGGCTCTGAGCAAAACCATAGATGCAAAGAAAGACAGCGAGACTCGTGAGATTTGTGCAGTTGTTTTTAAATGTATAAAGTTGCACAGATATTTTTACCAGTATCTGAAAATATACAACATTGAAAGATAAGTAAAATCAACAAGGATAATTCATACCAGTCATAAGTAACAATAATCATAATCAAAATTTCCTCTTTTTCCAAGAAACACCTGAGGGAAGCAAATGAAAATAAAACAGTAGAATTATACATAACAATCATGTAAAAAAAGAGAAAAATAACAAAGAATGAAAAAGAACACGAGAGGAGAGAGAGAGAGAGAAAGAGAGAGAGAGAGAGAGGGGAAAATAAAGCAGAGAAAAAAAGCAAAGATTAACAACAGGGATCACTCACAGTCACACTCATTCAGTTATGTACAGCACATTCGTCCACTAGTGTGCCGGATGGTGGAGGAAAAATAATTAAAAACAGCGTTCTTTGTGAACGTGTGGCCTTTAAAGGAGATACGTGCAGTCAGTTTCTGTGTGCTGTCACTTTTTGCTGTTTGTATGTATTGTGTGTGTGTGTGTTTCTGTACCAGGTTTATACCATATTGTGGGGACTCTTTCTTTTTCGGGACCAAAACCTGTTTATACACTCTCGTTATGGGGACTTTTCTTCCTTGGGAGGACCAAAATCTGTTTATACACTCTCGTTATGGGGACTTTCTTCCTTGTGGGGATCAAAACTTGTTTATACACTCTCGTTATAGGGACTTTTCTTGCTTGTGGGGACCAAAACCTGTTTATACACTCTCATTATGGGGACTTTCTTCCTTGTGGGGATCAAAACTTGTTTATACACTCTCGTTATGGGGACTCTTCTTCCTTGTGCGGATCAAAACTTGTTTATACACTCTAGTTATGGGGACTTTTCTTTCTTGTGGGGACCAAAACCTGTTTATACACTCTAGTTATGGGGACTTTTGTTCCGTATGGGGACCAAACTTGTTTATAAACTCTCGTCATGGTAGACTGTTCTTTGCTTGCGGGGACTTAAATCTGTTTATACTCTCTCATTTCGGGGACTTTTCTTCCTTGTGGGGACCAAAACCTGTTTATACACTTTCCTGGGGACTTTTTGTGTATATTATACACATCATTATATCACCACAAGCATTTCAATGCATGAATGTCCTGACTGAATGTTGTGCAAATGACAAATAACTTGAAACTTGAAATTCTTTAAGGGGACTTTTCCTCCTTATGGGGACCACCTTAAAATTTAATGTAAATCATTCAATTTTAAGGTAAAGATATGTTTTAAGTGTGTGGTTAAGGTTAAGGTTAGGGTTAAGTTTACAGCTAGTAGTTGGGTTTAGTTAGTAGTATTTTCATGGTTAAGGTTTGAGTCGGCCTCCAGGAAATGAATGGAAATCTATGTAATGTCCCAACCATTCAGAGAAACAAATGTGTGAGTGTGTGTGCGTGTGTGTGTGTGTGTGTGTGTGTGTGTGTGTGAGTGTGAGTGTGTGTGTGTGTGTAACTCTCCACACCATATTTCAGTGGTGATGCTGGATTTGAACAGTAAGTGATTAATATGGAGCTGCATGGCTTACAATGCAATAATAGCACAAGAAAATCAGGCTTTCTTTTCTTTTTTTGTTTTTGCTGCCTGTTCTCTCCTCTCACATTCTGCTTCTGACATCATTCAGCTCTACTCCTTTCACAAAAATCTCACACAAACAATATTAAAACAATCTTTTTTGCATGATACAACATGATTTGTGGTTATTATTAATTTTTTTTCCAAAAATTAGATCGTTTTTTTCACTTTCAAAAGTTCTTGGTCCTTGTGTGTCCTTCAAAAAGCAAATTCCATTAACAAAATATGACATTAAAACAAATATTTAGGGAAAAAAAAAATCAGAAAACGACGATTTATGATGAGAAAAAAAGAACAAGAAAATGTAAGAAAAGCTTTGGCCGAAGAGTAAGTAAGTATGACAAAGGAATGATAAAAATCACTGATGAAGAAACGTGAAGGAAAAGTGGTTTTCTTTTTCTCTTAGAATGGCCTGTGATGCGGCACTCATCCCACAGATTTGGGCCTGAAGGATATTCTATTTTTCCTCACAGAGGAAAGAATGGAACGAAAAAAGGTGCTCTTCTCACAAAAAGTCATTCGTTTATTTTTGATTGTCCGCGGGGAAAAAAAATTAGCACCGGCTCCCCCTGCAGGGCAGGATGTCCCGGCTTAAAGACATACAATCACAGCGTTTACCGCGACATCCTTTACAGGAAAGGAGCCGAGAGTCCGCAACAGGGCTGTTAAGGCTGTTAGCCCTGCGTCAGTGTGAGTAAGTGTAATCGCAGGCTACTCTGGATGTGTCTGCTGAGTGTCTCGCGGGGCACCATGTTCCTGTAAACAGCTCTTGTGTACGATGGGGAGTGGATGAGCCTCCGTGTTGAACACCCAGTCGTCCAGAGGCAGCAGGTCATCATCAGAGAACAGCAGGTACAGATATCTGCAAGTACAACACAAATCCTTAAAATGTGGCTTATAACGGCTAATGTTTATGCATAAAGTAAGATCATTGTAAATAAGACATGAATCCCATCTTAAATCAACACTTTGTGGATATGTGCCCTGGAGTCTGATAGCAACAATGCTAACAAAATCATGCTGACGGGCTCCCGAGTGGTGCAACCTAAGTTCAACCCCCTAGTGATGTCACATCAAGAAAGTACAATAGTCCTCTTTCTCTCTGTGTTGAGCTGTCCAATGACGCTGTGTTAGTGGCAGTATGAAAATATGTGGTAGAGCTTTGTGTCTCAGAGAAAGTGCTAACCATCACCCTCCCAGCTTGGTAACACTGTATAATAGGAGGAGACCTAGCTAGCTAACTAGCAGGTGGAATTTGACATGCTAAATTGGAGACATGCTACACTGCTAATTTTATTACTACAGCTCTGCAGACTCAGAGAGCCAGCAGTTCAGGGCATGACGTAGCTGGCAGTTAGGGTCACTTGAGCTACCTGTGCTAGTTAAAAAGTTTGCACAAATAATTTGCTTTCAGGTTATATGATGCATTTCATTTTTATAAATTATAATTATATAAACAAATAATTCAGCTAACTAAATAATTAAAACCTTCAGTTTCAAGGTATGATGTAGTTGTAGGCTACCGGTTAGGATCACCAAAGATGCATGTTTAGCTAGCAAAAAAGCTCGCACATCATTTTGCATCATGTACCATGTTTTGTGTTTAGGTTTTTTATTATTTCATTGTATGTATTATTTTTTTATGTATTATTTAGCTAAATAAATGATTAACTATGACTAACTTGGCTTTAAATCATGGCCAGAAGACATCAACATATTGCAGATTATGCATACACTAGCATTCAATTTGGAATTGGTGTTCACTGTTTTTATATTTCAACATAATATTTCAATACAAAACCATTTTTGTTGCAGATAAATACATAAAATGATTCTAATATGTGAGTGCTGTACAACTTCACATGGTTCAGATCATTAGTAGGATTCTAGAAAGTTAAATATTAAAAAAAAAGTTCAGAATGATGGAGAGCTGTAGAAAGTTCTGTATAGCATCAAGAATTCATTTAAAATAATACAATAATATTCACAAGTTATCATATTTCAAAAGTAGATCAAATCTTGAAGCAGAAAAAAGAATGTAAAATGTTAAATACAGTATATTCTTAATCATTTATCAACTTATCAAATTCTTGAAATGTTGAATAAAACAATACATGTTGGTGAACAGTGTGTAATAAATCCACATTGTAAAAGTGATCATAGTATACAAAATTACAAAAATGATTAATGTGGCAAGTGATTCCAATGTTTCATTATAAAGAGAGCAAAATTAGTCCTGTTTAACTGAATTTAGTGTGACGCAGTATGTCAAATATTGAATAAAAATGATTGTATTCACAGTGTTTGATGGTATTTTTAAAATGTGGCACATTTGGTTCTTTTTTCTCTGTTCCAACTGATCAGATGTCTGAAAAACTAAATATTGTGGCCTATTGTGTATCGTGATATATTTTTTGCCATATTGCCCAACTCTAGTTACAGCTAACAGTGAATGGAAGCTAATATTTTTTGTGATGCTGTGTTCTCATGTTTGCGTTGAAAAAGAAATTGTCGTTCCACACCTCAGAGCGGCTGGCGGTGGCATGAAGCTACGCACATGTTACAATGGTGACTGCGATGCCGGCAAAAATGGGTGATTATCAGAGGAAGGCTTTGACAGAGCTTGTGCTTGTGCCTTAAACTCAGCTCAAAAGCTAAAAAGCTTCGCTCCACACATAAGAGACTTTTCGCCATTTTTCTTTGTTTACTTGCTGTATTTTTCTCCTTTCATGCTCTCAGTTTTCATTGGATGTTGCAGGAATCTGTTCAGATTGAGTCGTTGAGCAGTTTACATTAGATTTTGCTCAGAGTCGGGTCAAAAAAATCAAACATGTTTGATAAACTCCAAATGCTCTGAAACGCGATCGGGAGGAAAGAAATCTGAGTCTGCTCCCCTCAGACACGACTCGACTCTCTCTCCAACTGTCGATTCCGACTGACCCAAAAATCTGCAGACTAGAGCCGCCCAGCTCAGACTCGGCCAGACTGAAAATCAGGGCTAAAATCGGGGTTTTTGGCTTCTTTGGCTTCCATGGCTCCTAAGAAATCAATGTCCAGTTTATTTCACCGCTGTGGTCTGCGGTAAACGTTGGTTAAATTGAACCCTTGAGGCCATGTTCTGTTCACCGCTGCAGTCTGTGGAACGTTGCTGCTGGCGGTGGCAGAATTTTCCGTTGCAGCTCCATTGAAAACAATAGAATATCCAGTTTGCCATCGTCCCTCTACCGCAAACATGTGAACACAGCATTAAATATAAATGGATATTTAGCTTTACAGAATGTGTGAACTGTGCTGTTTTAGACCCTCAGCTCTGATGACTGTGTTAAGATTGAATAATCCTGAGCCAGTTCAGTCTAACAGCAAACAGCAGATCGCTAGTCAGGATTATTAGCGCTCTCACTTCAGAGTTTCAGACAGGAAGAAGCTCTGCTGCATGTTGTCATGGCTGACTGTGGAGGCGTACACGTCTCTGATGCCGGAGTATCCGCTGTCCACGCGGCAGTGTTTCTCCAGCGCCTGCGAGAATAAAAGATCAGTACACAGAAAAACGCTAACATGGCTAAGACTGAATGAACGCTAGCATTACCTTCCCTTATTCTCATCTGGCTTTCATTCACTACTGACTCAGTCAATTTACTGTATGAATACACAACAATAACTAATAACACAAGAATGTTGTGCTACAGATTTTGGCAAAAGAAGCACAACAAATCTGACAGTTGAAGTAAAAACGAGCTGACGTGGCAATTTAAGGGCCGATTAGCTCATAACAAAGGCAGACATCTACACTGTGATTACGAGCGGCCCCTGTGTTACTCGGGGAAATGAACGTGACAAATCTATTTCAGTTCTCTCCCACTTTATAATTAACATGTCATCCTGTCTCAGAGAGACATGCGAGCTGTATTAATACGCCGCCTTTAGCCAAGCGTTCATTTGCAAAGGCTAATGGGCATAAATGGCATGTTAGGTGTTCCGCCGCAAATCCCTTTAACCTTGCTTTTCCCACTCGTCGACCTACAGGAGCCAGTTTATACAACCACAGTTGAAAAGCCCACAGATTTACAGTCAACACTGCCTTTCGCTCTTCGGGCTGGTTTTCCACATGGATTATACTGCACTGCTGCCGATTTTCCAGTGAAAAATCCTAAGATGAGGGTTAAGTATCCAAAACAGCATTTCAAGGAGATACTGTGACAGCATGATGCATCAGAAACTGGTCCGACAAAACTCAGGCTGAAAGATTAATCATTTTTGTATTGAAATCAAAATTAAAGAGTGCAATTTTAATCGCAAGAGCTGCAATTTACTGGCTATCTGTCACACTGCATTCAGGGGTCAAGCTTGAAGGTAGAAAAAGTGGATATTCTGTACTTCTTGGCAAAGAAACTGCTTTTTTGCTGTAATAATCAAAAGCACAAAAAAATTCACTTCCCATCCAAACTCCCGTGGCTATCTGATTTAAAAATGCCCAGCAAACATTGTTGTAGGCCAGGTTACTGTTGCTAAGCTATGAGTGGACATTGAGGAGTGAATGCTGCACTATGATTGGTCTGATTTATTTGTGAAACTGCATCATATTTGTTTGCATATGATAAAAAAATGTGTTTTTACTTCACAGTATCTTGCAAAAAATAGTAAAAAGTAAGACATTTTACTGTAAAAAGTCTCATTTTGTTTTATAAAAGTCCAGATACTTGAAAAAAGTACTTAGAAGTAAAGTACGGGGCTGATTTATTAAAATTTCTGCATAATTTAGTCAGTCACTTTAATTTCTTTACAGTGGTGCTGACAGGAACAAGGGGTCGTCGCAACTACGTCAACGCTTAGAAGAGGTTTTGTCCCGACAGTAAACTGCTACAGATATTCATCATGTCTGAAGTTCAGTTCCATTCCTAATGGAACGTCCCAAACCTGACTTACCTACATACCTTTCACAAGATAAATCCATGATGGAGTGACACATAAGTTTCTATTTTTTGATTCAACACTTTTCAACAATCCAACAGTTTAATAGCTTAGTGGTCAGTGCTGAAAAACTCTGACTAAAGACATGAAACGAAAGGCAAGATCAGGAATTACAACACTGCATCATTTAAGTTACCCTTTATTAGTCCCACGACAGGGAAATTCCCCTCCTCATTTAACCCATCTGTGCAGTGAAAGACCCACATACATGCTAGTGAATGCACACACACTAGTGGGGGCAGTGAGCACACTTGCCCAGGGCGCCCGGGGAGCAGTTGGGGGTTAAGTGCCTTGCTCAAGGGCACTTCAGTCCTGTCTGGGGATCAAACCGGCAACCTTCCGGCCGGTTCTCTAACCTCCAGCCCACGACTGCCCACCAGTCCACTTTAACCCTTTTGATAACAATTTAAAGAATCCATTTAAATGTAATTACTTAATTACATAACAAATTACAAATACATTTATTCTGTATGTACAGGTTAAAGGCTGCATTCTGACCTTTTTTAAGTTTGTTTTGATCTCGAAATGAGAAAATATAGGACAAAAAATCAAAACAAAAAATTGTTTCTCTGAAACGAGACCATACACAACAATAACTTTTCATTAGATTGAAATGATAATGAAATATATCCTCTTTTACTTAGATACTTAATAAAATTACTTAATACGTTTCATTTATATAGTGCCTTTCTCAAACCCAACGTCGCTTTACAGAGGCAGGAAAAAAACACAAATGTGGTCGGGATTAATCTGCACTTGTTTTGATGAGCTATGAGTGAGAAATAATTCATATTAAATTACAGCATCCTTTAGTTTTTTGCAATTACAGCGCAACTTAAGGGTTCGGGCATTAATTAATCTAAGTGGACGTTTTGTTGAACTGAAGTGTGTTTTTGTCGCAGATGTCCCACCCACCTCCACCGCCTCCCAGCCCCACTGCCTGTACTTGGGGTCATGGGTCAGACGCCACATGTACATGTAGCTCTCGATGACCTCTGGCCTCAGGATGTAGTAGCGGTCACTCAGTCTGGTTGCTGTCGCCTCGGCCCCTCCGTCGAAGCGGAAAGCCTCCGGCCCCAGTTTAGTTGCTGTCAAAACAAAGAAAACGACATGACTAACCAACTCGTTGTGACCTTCACCGCTGGAAAAGGCTGCCTGTGAGTTCCAGGTAAATCATTCAGACCATTTTTGCTACTTTGAAAGCCAAATATATCAGAAAAACAGAGATAAAGAGCTTTTCTTGTGGTACAGTGCTGCATTTATCTGTCTTTGATAAAGCTACTCTAAAATGTCTCTCATACCACAGCTCTACATGTCTATGATATGCTGACTCACTGAGGAGCTTTTAAATGAAGAGCTACCTTAGAAAAAAAGCCCAGTGAATTAATAAACTGTGTAGACATTCATGCGAACACTAACAAACTCTACGATTATGTTTCATGTGTAATATATGATGACTTTGGTATGTTAGGTTATGCCCCTTATTCCATGAAACATCAAACAGCATGGATACTACAAGCAACACCATCATAACTCAGGTTTACATGAAAAAAATTATACAAATGATATGACAATATCCAAGTCCAAGTGCTTACACAGAAATTCCTGACATACTAGTTCAATATGGTAAACATTACTGTGCAAAAGACAGAGACCACCTGTCATTTATTCAATGAGCCATTCATCATCTAAGCAGCTAATCCTCCTGGTTTGCAAGGGTTACTGTAGCGTATCCCAGCACTCATTGGGTGAAAAGCAGGAAACACCCTGGACAGGACACAGACTTACTTTGCTCTGCTTCAAGCTTTAGCTCAGCTATGGCTGCTTTTCTCGCATCTCCAGCAGGAAAACCTTTTCGCAAAAGTAGAACAGTTCCTTGTAAAACGTCTCTCAATGTTCGATTTTTTCCGAGGCTGAAGTGGCTTCTCATTCGCCAGCTTCTTGTTCAAATTTTCCCTGTTCCACCTTAAATGACTGGCCTGTGACGCCAGAATGTTACTGCTGCATTCGTTTCTCGTTGCATATTAAATGTATCAGGAAACCAGCTGGAGTGATTATAAGTCTGTTTGTCTCCAAATTACTCCAGTGTTTAAGAACATTTATTGTTAAACTGTGTTGAACGATCAGCAGAGCTTTATTTTACTGTAAAGGAGGATTATTTTATTATTACCTACAAATCTAATTCTGCTGAAGAGCCACAACAGGGCAGTAAATGAGCCAAATGTTGCCAACCCCTGGGTGGGGGTATTGAACCCGGGCCCTTCTTGCTATGAGGTGATAGCACAATCCACTGTGCCACCCCTGAGCCCTTCACCAGTAAAGAAATATTTGTGAGGAAAACAGATATACGATTGCACAAGGAAGGAGAAAGTCAAAGGAAAATATGTGAAAAAACTGGAGATCAAAAAATGATTAAAAGCTACAGAGAAAATGTGACTCCTAACAACTACCTGGAAGAGCTGGTAGACACCAAAACAGCATTTAAAGCTTTCATCTTTGAGAGAGAGGAGAAAATCAAGCTGCTTCAGATCTGAAAACATCCCTTAGACTTGCACCTCAGAGACCTGAAACTTGGACTTGCACACCTGAGACCTGACTCAGACTCGCGTCTCAGAGACTCGTCTTGGACTCCTTAAAGACTCCAGGCTCGACTCTGACTTGCGTAAAGGGACTTCAACGTCTCTGGTACATGTAATTAGGAGATTAATGTGAATATATATGACATAAATATGTAAATCGGGCAAATAAACAGACATAAATGGCCAGAAATTGGATTCTGTATGTGCGACCAGGCAGCAAATACAGTTTTACGTGAACAAAAGCTATTAGTTGTGCTGCCTTGAAATGATCAAGGTGACCTACCGCCGTGTCTCGTTCTTTTGAAAGCGATTTTTTGTTCTGTTTCAGTGCGTTTTTGTCCCCTGATTGCTGCAGCAATGAAAACCACATCAGAAAGTTCAGCATAACAGTTTTTCACAAAGCACTTCTGTCACATTTGATTTTTCTGCTGCACCTCATCTTTCCAGGAGGACGTTAGCCAGTCTGTTAAGTTGTTAAGTTAACAACAGCTCCAGAAGTGCTCCCAGCGGAAGACTTTCACTGTCAGCATTAAAAAGAGCTAAATATCAGCCCGTCTTTCCCTCCAAAAGCCTTTAATCCAACAGCTGTGCTTCAATCCGGAGCGGAATCTAATGAGGACGAAAAAAATGCGATAAAAAAATATTGAGGTGCCTTTTGGGTGTGAGATCAAAAGTAGTTCAAGTAGCATGTAGCGTTTGCCGTATTAGCTTAAACTCCTGAAGATGTCTAGTTGGACATGTGACTGCCTCTTAAAGTGATATTTTTCACTCTGCGGTGGTTCCAGACACGGATGTGGGAGAAAGCCAAGATCAAACAAGGCATTAGCTAAAAAAAAACGGCTTTATTCAAAAATCTTGGTTTCTCTTTTATTCCCACGTTTTCCTCTCGCCTGGCCAGCGAAAAGCATCCCCTAAAGGCGGCCACGGGGTTTTTATGCAGCGTTTTTGATGTGAGGAGCCAGACGAGGAACGAGTGCAGCCTTGTTTACTAAGGCTTAAAACAGCATCAGCGAATTTAATGGGTTTTCTTAATTTGAACCATTGAACAGATTGGACTTGATGAGATTTTTTTTCAGCAAGTTTCGAGCAAGACAGCATTACTGCTGCCCTGCCAGAAACATAATAAAGAATATTTTATTATTTCTTCACACCAGAGACACGAGCCCTCATTGCCTTTTACGACCAACTTTTACAACCAACTGCTGACTAGCCTCAGCAAAAAACTAGCCACGTTACAAACTTCTTGCTCAAAAACTCAAAGTTTTAGATCGAGTCAAAACTTAAAGCAGACTATAACTCAGCGGTTCTTTTGTTGTGTTTTGTCAAGCCAGGATTTGAAGGATTACAGAGCTTAAAAACGCTAATAATTACTAAAACGCTAGGCTAGTTAGCATTACCTAAGAGAGCTAGCAAACTAAACCCCAACAAGCTGTAATTCATTATTCACCAATCTTGCATTTTCTTGTACAGTAAGAAAAGAAACCCACAAAGTCTTTCAGATGCGATCTTCTTAAAGCATAATGGAATACATTTTTAAAATGTGTGCTCCTCAGCAGCATTAGCACAATGCTAAACCCAAACAGCGAACATATATCGGTCCGCTGGCCTGATAAGGTCGGCAACCCGCTGACTGTTTGCCACTGCTGGTCCACCCATCGGACCACCCAGATTACTGTCATGCATACAAGTTCTAACTAGATTTGAATCTCCTCAAACAGATTTTAAATGCACACAGATTTTTATTACCGTAGACAAATATTACAAACAAAAAAATAATGACTAGGCCTGATATAAAATGATTTTATAGAAAATGTTGCTGACTCTGTGCTGGATAAAATTATTTATTAAACTAATTTAACTAAAGAGAGGAAGGAAGGAAAAATAGGTAAATTCGTCTGTGAGCGGAAAATGAGCGACAATAAGTGGAATTTTGTCTAACAGTCTACTTAACTGCCGGTGGGCCGCCCAGAAAATGCTCAGCAAAACTCCAGTGGACTGCCAGCTTTGCCATCAGTGGGCCAGCAGTGGACCACTATCCTCTTGCTATCAGGGAACATGGACAAAACTCTGCTCAGCAGCTTTAAAAGAAAAGTCTGTCTCCCCTTTTCCAAATGTGATCGATCAGCCTCTTGTTTAGCGTCTTTAAGTTTGCTTCTGGAGCTTCGAGGCTAATGTAGCAAACAAGTAATGGAAGCTGATGTGCATCTTATTTTTATTTATTTTTTAATCCTTTAATATAACTAGGCAAGACATTTAGAACATTTTCTTGTTTACAATAGTGGTCTGATCAGCATGGTGATCAATTAGCTTGATGCTACCTGCATGACTAAGTGCCTTAAGCTGTTTCAGGTTGTTTAGTAATCTCTAATTAGACTTGCTCATGTGGTTTCGGACACTGTATGACACGTTGTTATTTATTAAAATAGTGTAAAGTACATTAGTATAGATAAAAACAATAGCAGCCCTCATTTTAAAGCCTGAATTTTGTCTGTACTTTTGTTGTTTTTATTTTGTAAAGGGGGGAAATTGTGTAAATTTGATGTTTTGCTTAATTCCACGGGTAAATGTCAGTTCCCAGATAGCAAGAGGACATACAGCAGGTCGCTGTTGGCCCACTGATGGCAAAGCAGGCGTCCCACTGGCTTTTTGCTGAGTGTTTTTCCACCAGTGCACACCGGTGGTTAAGCAGAGTGTTACACAAAATGCCACTTTCAAGCACTCACAGTCCAATTTACTGATTTTTGCATAATTTCTTTCTTTTTTTCCATTGTAAATTAATTTGACAAATAATTTTAACAGTAATATCACGAATGAAGCTGCTTATCGCTGTTGTCGGAAGAAAACCATTTTTGTCGATTTTTAGTTTTTGACATTATTAAAAAAATGCCTGTTGCTCTTTACATTGTGTGTAAATTTCATGATGAATGGACGAAAAGAAACGGCCTAAAATGACTTGGAAAAAGTCTGGTTCCATTGACTTACGTTAAAAATAAAGTTTTTTCCTTCTCCTGTAAAATCACTATTTTGGAGATACGAGGTTTTGTTCGAACAACAGCGATATACAGCTGTTACCAATGTAGCAGAGCATCAGCAACATTTTCAAAAAACACTATATTATAAAAGGCCTTATCATTAATTATTTCTCAATTATTTGTAATAATTATCTTCCTTTATTTTCCAAAATAATTCTTTAAATTCCAAAATGCACATTTAAAATCTATTTGCAAAGACAGACTAGTTAGACCATCTTACGCAGGACAATTATCTGGGTGGTCCGAGGGCGGATCGGCAGTGGCATATTGCCAGCGAGGTTGACCTTATCAAGCCAGCAGACCGATATGTTCTGCTGTACGATACTAACCTGAGCGGCTGTAGGATTCGTGGCATGTATGTGTGATTTCAGCCGCCAGGTCCAGGTAGTGCTGCCTCTTTTCTGGAGCACCGTGATCCGCACCGATGCCCACCATCCCGCCCGAGAAGCAGGCCAGGTGACCCATCTTGTGGTCCAGGACGCCCCCTCTCCATTCAGCCACGTAGGTCAGCCCTCCTGGAGACTTCTGCACCATATTAGCCTCAATAGCCTGGACAAAAGAAAATATATCATCATATACCACAGATATCTAATCATAGACAAAGATAAGGCAAAGTTTTTCACTGGTGTTGTGAAGCTGTTATGGTGCTAATTAGGCTACTTTAAGCCTAAATCATCATACTTTTACCCCAGACTGTGTCAAGTTGTTGAGTAAACTCAAATAGACTTGTTTGTGTGGTGACACTGTATGACATTATAAACATCTATAAACATGCACTAAAGTATGTTAGCATGGCTAAAAAATAGCAACCACCCGGAAGCCTATATTTTGTCTCGAGATTACTGAACAAACTTGTAATGTTTTGAGGCAAGTATGTGATGATTTTAGGTGTTTGGTAAGCACATTGATAATTGGTGGGTTATAGACTTCCATTATTTAGCTACATTAGCCTTGAACCTCCAGTGCATCACTTGTCAGCCGGTGTAAAACTGAATAAGCAGTTTCAGACACATTTGATCGACTACATTTGGGGTAAGGGGGAAAACTGTTACCCTGCTGAACAAAACAGCACAGATCAGCAAGCATTTCATGCTTCAAGCACTTCGCATGATGCTAATTGCTAAGCTTCCATTAGCTGTTAGCTACACTAGCCTTGTAGCTCCAGAGCAAAACTATAGACACACACCCTACTGAAAAACCCGGCTACTTTCTACAGTGGTCTAAGCTAGTTTATGCTGGTTTATACTGGTCTGGTTCTGGTTTAGCTGGTCGCCTCATTATGGTCAGGCTGGCTGACCAGCATACCAGCATTCAAAACACAACATATGCTAGTTTTGCTGGTGACTAGCCATGCTGGTTTATGCTGGTTTGTCTATCAGGGTAAACTTTTCCAAACTAACACTTGTTACAGTAACAGTGGTCAGTTAACGTTTAGCATTAGCACTCACTGCATTATCCACTGGTCCTGTTCTTTGAAAGTAACCGAAGGATCATTTTGCAGTGCAGCATATTTCTCTGAACATGAAGGCAAGATAACCTGCAAAATGTGGTAGATAGATATATACAAAACGCGCTCGTCGTCCGATTACATAAGCGGAAAACCCTGAGTAAGAGAAACAGCTCCCAGAGAAAAGCCAGGTAAGCCAAATTACGATCCATTCTGCAGCTGCTAGATGCGACGGTTAGCACGGGCTGCATTCTCAAACTGCAAACAGCCTGAATTGACAAGAGTTTCGCAACTTCTGCCAATCTACATACTGCTTTTAGAGCGTAAACTCTTATATCTACTATCTATGCACATACTAAATGGGAACAACAGGCGCACATCGCTCCGGGTGCATACGTTTATGTATGAAATGATTTATGCACGGAATAACACGAGGGGCTGCTCCCTGGAGAATTGAAGTCAAGCCTCATTGAGATTCCATTGGGCTTCCGTAGCGGGAGACTTATGAATCCGCTGAAAAACAATAGGAAAGAAAGGGAAAGGAGGCAAAAAATCTACATTTTAGAGCTGTTTTCTTCCATATTTGCTGCGTCTCCCGAAAATCGCTCCTTCAGTTCGAGTTTATGTATTCAGCCTTTCTTCTGGGAGGCGAAAACACAGCAGAGCATCACGGAGGATCAATAGCAAATGACTCATCGTTTTCTTTTGTCCGTTTCTTCTTTCTGTCTTTCTTCTATCTTCGCTCTTGCCTTTCCTTTTACTCTAAAGAAGCCCACATGCCGAGGTTCGCTCTGTCGGCAACGACTGCGTTTCTTCAGTAAATATGGCCTAATCAAAGACTGATACGCAGCATCAAAGTTCTGAAATGAATGAAATGCCAAGGAGACGCAAACTAGGCCTGTACAATATGGGCAAAATATCATATTGAGATTATATTGCTACATGCTGGGCAATTTATGAGGTTCCCGTTCCTTTGGATCTACTCTCATTGTCATTTTATCAGCTCCACTGACCATGTAGGAGCACTCTGTAGTGCTACAATTACAGACTGTAGTCCATCTGTTTCTCTGCATCACCTCTCAGCCCCCCTTTACCTCAATCATCGACAAGCTTTCATCTCTAACTGCACATTTGTAAGTTGGACCAACAAGGTATGTGTGTCTAATAGCGTGGACAGTAAAGGTCATTGCACACCAGACTGCAGCACAACATAGCAGATAGTACACAGTGCAGCTATACCACATAGAATGCGTCACAGTGAACTGCAAATGTGGTCTTTTATAGGTGACCAAGCAAAGAACAGTACAGGAGATCATTTGTACCAACAGCGATCACACTGTATAACACTTCGTCACTGTGCCGGGACATTATTGTATACTGAGCCACTGACAGGACAGGACAGGCTCACTGGGCACCAACTGGACATTATATCTCTCTACTCTTTGCTTTGCACTGCTATTTTGTTTATATATCTGTTCATATTGCATATTGCGCTGCAACTTGTTTATACACCATTTTCAGTTTTTGACATAATTTGGAAGTACCCGTGGTCCTATATATTGTGTGTAAATGAATGGACCAAAGAAATGATCCAAAATAACTCAAAAAAAGTCTGGTTCCATTGACTTACAAAAAGAAGCGCAATGTGTTTTTTCCCTCTCTTGTAAAGTTCGCATTTTGGAGATATGAGGTTTTGTTTCGACAGCAGCGATTTACAACTATTAACGTTATTGTTTAGTCACTCGGTCCATTCACTGGATGCACCACTGCATTGTCACCTATTTCGTTAGCTACTAGCTAGGCGAGATTGTTGTCTATGTTGCTATGGGGACTAGCGGTCTGGGCGCCAACTTTCAGGGTTAAAGGTTGAATTAGCAGTTCTACATTAACTCTAGCATTTAAGACCATTTATTGTTAAACTGTGTTGAACGATCAGCAGAGCTTTATTTTACTGTAAAGGAGGATTATTTTATTTTTACCTACAATCTAATTCTGCTGTGGAGCCACAACAGGGCAGTAAAAGAGCCGCACACGGCTCCAGAGCCACAACTTGCCGACCCCTGATATAGACTGATATCTATATAAAATGTGTTACTATAACGCGGAGTTCACAAAGTGCAGGTTTTCTGTGTACATCTGAAAAAAGCGACTAGTGTGGCGCTACGTAGCAGCTTCGTTTTGTACATCATGAACGAACTTGGACCAATCACGGACACATACAAACACTACTTTGCATGCCACGCCCCTTGAGCTCCCACTGAACTGTAAAGCCCATGGCGGTCACCACAATACGGTAACCAGAAGATGCATGAGAGGCGAGCACCGATGACAGCTGTGAAAAACATCTTGAATCCGCTCTTCCGATGCCAAACCAGTGTCAGCTGGTTCTACGACTACTAGCCGCTAGCATTAGCTGAGTGAGGAGGCCTAAACAGCTGTATACACAACCACACAGGTTAATCTGACTCACTGAAGTCTCACTGACGCACATTTAGAGGATAAGGACTCCAATCTGAGTGAGTGAAATCAAGTGAGAGAGTGTCAGAAAAACAAAAACATTAAGTCAAAATCTTTCTGATTATTAAAGTTACAGTGGGAGCTTATTTTTGTTTTTGCTCTGTCTTGTCCATTCAAACACAGAGACAGCATGGGAAGGGAAAGGGGCAGGCTTTAGAAACGGGGAGGCCAGGGGCGTTTAATTTGCATAATCGTGCATATTCATAGGTCTTTGCATTCTTAATGAGTGTTGAGGTTTAGGGATTTTTAGCAGTTTCTTGGGCAAAATGATACATATTTAGCAATTTATTCAACAAAGATGATTTTTGTGCTTTAATTTTTCACTTTAGGGGCACTTTAATTAAAGATTTCCATTATCCTGGTGTACTGGCCACTAGATGGCCTGCAGGAAGAGGTTAATGCCGCATTTACGGCAACTGGGAGTTTGTAATATTCCGTCTCGGAATCTCCAAATTTCCACCCAAGAGGGTTCATGCAACTTCAGCTGTTTGAGGGCGGGAAAAAACGGATGCTCACAGTAAGCTAGCGCTTGTTTGACTGCTGTGCGCATGCAAAGGTCTATTAAAGGTGTTTTGAATTAAACAGCTGTTCGGTTAGTCTTTCACTGACTTTAAGGCTTTGGCAGTTCACCCTTAATATAGTGCTGGAAAAGTATACAAAAGTGTGGCAAACCAAAAATCTTGCACAGATGGGCTTCATCCTACCATCACCCAGTGTTCCCCTGTGTTTATGAACATTATACACACACAGCATATCATTCATTTTCTTGGTTCCCCGGCCGGGCGACCAGGGTCCTTTCTGTGTGCAGTTTTCAGGTTCTCCCCGTGTCTGCATGCGTTTCCTCCCTGATGGGTACTTTCATTTGATTCTTTTGATTTATTCATCTTATTGTTATAAAGTTTTCTATTTTGTACAGACAAAATGTAATACTATTGATAATCATCATCATCGTCATCCTCATAATCAGCAGCAGCAGCAGCATTTTAATCTTAATAATAATACATTTTTTAGTTTTATATTATTTTCTTTGATATACTTTTTCATACATTTGATTGTTCTGATTTATTAATCTTATTTGTTATAAAGTTTCCTTTTTTATATAAGACAAACTGTAAAAAAAATAAATAAAATAATAATAATAATAATAATAATAATAATAATGATAATGATCAACATCATCAGCATTTTAGTCTTAATAAATAATAATTTTTTGTCTTATTTTTCTTGCTGTACTTTTATAGTCATAAATTATATGACTGAGAAATGATTGATTGATATGAAAGAGGATGCTGAGTGTAGATTCAAGCTACATATAAGCCTGGCAGTATATTACAACACCCTGGAACTCTTGATGTAACAAGAATAAAGTCCAGCCTGTTTTGTTGGATTACATGAACATCTCAGTTCATCGACTCCCTCAGAAACTCATCTGAAGAGAAGGACAGATGTGTGGAATTGTGATCGGTCAGAAGACTTGTTTGCATTCTGCAGGCTTTTTTTGTAATAATTGCAAAGACCAGTATCACAATTTAGCACTTAGCAAGTGATACACTGTACAGCACTGACTCGTCTGTGGACCGAGGTTTGAACTGAACTGGGCGGAAGTTTAACGCTGGTCAACATAATCGAGTCTCCGCCTGATGTTTTAAACAGAGCTCTGCATAAATTTAACTACAGTCTCCACAGACCCCGCGCGCCTCGGGCAAACGTGAGGAAAAAAAAACACAGTCTAATTAAAGAACGTTTCATGATAATTACTGCGTGAAATAACAGGAAATGTTACATGTAGATTTTGGCCCCGAACTGCTGCGCCATTTAAGGCGGAACTTCAGGTTCACACATTCACCATCATCTTGCTGTCTTTTCTGTAAACTTTGTTCAGCGAGGTCACTTCAGTTTCTCTTGTTTGTATGAATTTAAGTCAAACAAGTGGTTGTTTTTCGTTTGCTGAAAAAGGTTTTAGCGCCATGCTAGTTTTAACTGTAATCTCAGGCTCCCAAAAATCATCAGAAATGATTATTATCTTCGACTCTAACGTTTTTATTAAGTTTAAAAGCACTTCGAACATTTTTGGAAGGGTAAGAAAATGTATTATATAAAACCCTACACTACTAACATGATGTCATTAAAAGGCTTTATTATTGTTACCATCATTTTTGGTGAAGATAAGCGTACTGACTTGTTTAGGACTCAACGTTTAGGGCTCTGGGGTCGTATTACAGAAACATCCTAAATCCATGATACTACCACCACCGTGTTTCACAGATGGAATAAGGTTTTTATGCTGGAATGCAGTGTTTTCCTTTCTCCAAGCAGTCCAAACTCTTTAGAGATGGTTTTGTAACTTTTTCCAGCCTGATGAGCATCAACAACACTTTTTTCTGAGGTCCTCAGAAATCTCCTTTGAGTGGCGCAACTGTCTAAACATTGGCCCCATCATCAGGAGGTCGCGGGTTTGATCCCTAGTGATGCTACAGCCATCCAGGGCTGGGAGTCTAAGAGAGCAGAATTGGCCTCACTGTCTCTGGGTGGGTAGGATGTTATTCCCCATCACTCAGGAGTCTGTTAGCTGGCAGTTAGCATTCACCTAAAAGCGTGTTCAGCTTTCCAAAGATGCTCTGTTAAAGGCAGGCAGCTCGCCTTCACCCTCCTAGCGCTGGTGGTATCGCGTGTTTAGGGGAGTCCTAACTAGTGAGTGGAACTGGATATGAAAAAAAGAAATAATATTCATATGAATATTACAGGATCTGTTTTATGAGCTAATCTGGTTGTTTTGCTCTCTGGTAGTTCAGAGTCTTTCCTCTCCGTCTCTGCACTGTGTATATATGTGGGATAGATGTGTGTATTTGGGAGAGTGTTGCTGTTTGTTGTCAGGGAAACGCTGCCATACCTCCAGAGCGCTGTAGTACATGCGCTTTGCCTCCTCATCAGTCTTGTCTGACATCAGGTATGATTTGATCAGGTACTCATAGAAGCTGTCTCCCAAACCGCCGAGAGAAACGTGATCTGACGAAGGAGAGAGAGAAAAAACGTAGAGAGAAATAAATATATTCCTGCTTCAGCTCAACAAATCTGATAATGGAGAGTGTGTGTGTGTGTGTGTGTAGGTGTGTGTGTGTGTGTGTGTGTGTGTGTGTAGGTGTGTGTGTGTGTGTGTGTGTGTGTGTGTAGGTGTGTGTGTGTGTGTGTGTGTGTGTGTAGGTGTGTGTGTGTGTGTGTGTGTGTGTGTGTAGGTGTGTGTGTGTGTTTTGGCACATTTTCAGAACAAAACTGCCTTGACTTTGTAAGAAAACCTGAGCCTAATTTTGAAACTGGTATTCTAGGAAGTAGAAAATGCAACCAGCTTCTAAGACTGAACTTTGGAGGTGTGTCTGCAGATTCTTTGAGAAACTGAAAGTGAGTCTCCTGAAAAGAATGGAAGCTGGAATAAAGGTAAAGAGCGACACACTCAACACTCAAACATCTGATATTATATTTAGTTATTGGAGCTTCTAATTTTTGGTTAAATATATGTTTTCTGCTTTTTTCATGTATTTAATGACTGTTTTGACAGGAAATGAAATAAACGAAAAGGTGGTCTTTTGCACAGTACTGTATTATAAGTATTGCATATGGGGTTACATATATACAACCAAGTTGGGATGCTGTGTAAAATGTAAATAAATGTAAATAAAAACAGAATACAATGATTTGCAAATCTCATACACCCATATTTTATTCACAATAGAACATAGAACACATATGAGATGTTGAAAGCGAGACATTTTACCATTTCATGGAAAACGTTAACTAAGTTTTTTGGAATTGGGGTTGTATGTGTGTGTGTGTGTGTATATATATATATATATATATATATATATATATATACATACACAGTAGTCCAAACGCGTGCTTTATGCCACACTATAAATATATATATATATATATTTATATATATATATATATATGGCGTAAAGCACGCTGCCACTGGACTTGGGAGCAGTAGTCCAAACGTATTCTGTGGAGTGATGAATCAGCTTCTCTATCTGTCAGTCTGATGGACGAGTCTGGGTTTGGTGAAAGCCAGGAGAACGTTACCTGCCTGACTGCGCTGTGCCAGCTGTAAAGTTTGGTGGAGGAGGGATGATGATATGGGGCTGTTTTTCAGGGGTTGATCTAGAACCCTTAGTTCCAGTGAAGGGAAATCTTAATGCTTCAGCAGAACAAGATATTTTGGACAACTGTACACTTCCAACTTTGTGGGAACAGTTTGGGGAAGACCCTTTTCTGTTCCAGCATGACTGAGCCCCAGTGAGTCTGGTGTGGAAGAACTTGACTGGCCCTCACAGAGCCCTGACCTCAACCCCATCAAACATATTTGAGATGAACTAGAACGGGAGTCATAAAAGCTCCTGTAGGTGTCCCAATACTTTTGTCCATACAGTGTATATGTAATACAATTGGAATATATTAGATATAGTTGCTATATATATATATGTGTGTGTGTGTGTGTGTGTGCGTGTGCGTGTGTGTTTGTGTGTGTGTATGACCCCATGTCACACAGTATAAAAACAATCCTGTGTGATGCACATGATGGTGCACATTGCTATTCAGTTCACTCTCAGGTGTTCTTGTACAGGGTTAAGGCTCAAAACACGTGCAACAGTGTCATGCAAATAAAACTGAATTAAAGTGGATGTCATGGTAACACAATCGCTCCACTCCTGCTTCTTTATCTCTCCTTATCTCTCCGTCTGTCATTAGCCAATCACCTACAACAACAATTAGCTTTTGCCGTTGTACAGATTACACTCCTCGGATAGCATTTCAAAAACGCTGCTTTGCAGGTGAATGTGAGAGATTCTATTTCCAGAGTTAATGGGATTTATTATCATTTTAATGACCCTGGGCTATGGCTCTGGTGTCCACTGTGTGTCTATCGATAGGAAAACTGCAATAGCTGAACTCAAGTGACTGAAAATGCTGCATAAGCTCTAACAGCAAAACTCAAAGACAGCATTCATGAAGGACAATTAATTTTCATAACCCAATGTGCCCAAAATCACATCAGTGAAAAATGGAACAAAGAAAACAAAACAAAACAAAGAAACAAAAAAACAAACATGTACAGCATCTAGTTTTACAAACACATTTATGCCTTATAGATTACAGCTAGATTTAACCCCTTAAACTGTATGCTTATTATTTATTCATTTTAATCCACATTATTCAGTATCTGCTAAAAATGAATCAGAATGAATTATTCAGTATCCACCATGAATTATTCAGTAGCTACTATTAATTATTCAGTAGCTACTATTAATTATTCAGCACCTACTATGAATTATTCAGTATACACTACAAATTATTCAGCACCTACTATGAATTATTCAATATGTAAGCATGGACATATTGACATAAAATTGACCTTTAGTCATCTGTTGTTGGTAAAAATCCCTTTCAAATTAATAAGGAAGTGAAGGGCATAACATATGTCACTGTCAGACACTGAGCGTGTTATTAATTTCAGATGATATTTATTTTGCATGTGTGTGAAGGTCAGGAGCAGCTTTGGTTTTTCATGTGTAATTGAGCTGCTGCAGTTGGACATCTGATACAAGATACCTAACACTGCTATTGAAACAAAACATTGTATCTCCAAAATGGCAACTTTACAGGAGAAGGAAAAAACCTACTTTACTTTTAATGTAAGTCAATGGAACCAGACTTTTTTCCAAGTCATTTTGGGCCGTTTCTTTCTGTCCATTCATCATGAAATTTCCAATGTAAAGGGCAACAGACATTTTCAAAGAACTGAAAATGATAAAAATGGACATACTAGGTTTTGTTCTGTCAGCAGCGATATGTTAAACTCTAAACACCCCACAAGAAAAATATGTGAATCTACCCTAACAGTGTGACCTTTCACATACATGCAAAATAAAAAGATTTTGAAATTAAAACACTCTGAATTTACACGTTTATTAGAACCGAGTCGTGTTTTACAGTTTCTCTTTATGTCGAATGGGAATTAAATAAATAATGCATTTGTGGGTGGAGCCTGGTCTTGAGAAGTTTTGTAGAATAATGATCTCACTTACGCTGGACCCAGTTGCCGCTGACCGGGCTGAGGAAATTAGGATAGAGTCCGTGAGGCTTCTCAATTTTGTCCAGTAGTTTTCGGATGTTCGTCACCTATAAACGACCAATGGGGACAACTTTAGAGTCAATGTGGTTAGACAACCATTAAAACCTACACAAAACAACAACTGGTTCTGAAACACAATGAATATGATCTATTTTAAACCAATTCAGACATTCTAAACTCTCTGTGCTGAACACTGTGTCGGGTTTGTATATATATTCCCTGAACTAAAACACTCAAAGACTTAAATTATATGATTATATGAGTAAACACTAGAAGTCAATAGTCACCCAAACCTGTCCTCTAAATACATCCCGAAAACGTCTCTCAACCTGCTCAAATTGCATCTAGCTCTTCATTAAGGTAGTGCAGACCTGTCAATTTGCCTCGTTTAAGGGTTTTTCAGTTTGATATGGTTCTATAGAAGAACGCTTTTCAGAAAAGTTCTATATAGAACCATATAAAACACACTCTCCATCAATCTGAAGAACGCTTTAAAGATGCAACGAACGCTTTAATCACGCAAAGGGTTCTTTGAGTGTTCATGGTTCTATATAGAACCATTTTCTTTACCAAAAAACCCTTGAAGAACCATCCTTTTTAAGTGTGTGGGTTTTTGCAAATTAGAGGAAATGCCCTGGTGGACACTTTTAGCTGCAGGTCTTAAGTAACGAATCCTCTACAGAACAAAAAGTTCCTAAAAAGGTCCCGAATTCCATAAATTTCTTTAGAATCTAATTAGAGACTCTGAACTGTAGTTCACAGTTATTCCGTGCTTGCATATTACCTACCAACAAGACAATGTAAAATTCCCAAAAAATTATCCCAAATCCAACAAAATGAATTCCAGACTCCAAAGATTTTTTCCAAATTCCAAGGAAATGATCTAAATAAAAAAAAATCCCAAATAATTTAAGTAAATAAATTCATAAATATATAAAATTCCATGAAAATGATCCTTCTTTCAGAATTTGGGATAAGCTTTTTGGAATCTCCTCAGACCTTCTCGGTGTAGATGGGGTTTCCAGAGAGTTCCGACAGGTGAACGAACTCCAGGTGCAGCGTTCCGAACTCCGCGAGGATGCTGCTGCCGGCGGAGGCCCAGCCCCAGCTCCAACTCGTGCCACTGCAACAGAGGGCACAGCAGGCAACGTGAGTAACCTTCACCCACGCCACGCCACCATGGCAACCGTGCCAGCCCACCAACAAGCAGGTACCGAGAAGAGCGGGCAGTCGGAGCCATGGCAACAAGACACAGAACCGCAGAGAATAAAAACATACACAAAAGCACTGCTGGAGCTGGAACAGCTTTACCAGAGGAGGCTGTTTAAAGTCTTTTGTAAGAGATTTGACTGGACGATTCATACAGGATACAGAACATTACAGTTCAAAAGTTTCAACAACATAAAAGCAGTTTTGCTGATGATTAATGAGGTGAAGTACTTTAACTATAGACGTTAGTACTGTACATCTTCACAGGCTACAAATAATCAGTATGAAGCTGTTGGAATTATTCCATTCTTCTTGTCAGACTGTAAAACTACACACACTGCAGATTCATACTGGGTCATTGTCTAAATTACAGGTGTGTGTGTGTGTGTGTGTGTTTTTGTGTGTGTGTGTGTGTATGTGTGTGTGTGTGTGTGTGTGTATGTGTGTGTGTATGTGTGTGTGTGTGTGTGTGTATGTGTGTGTGTGTGCATGTGTGTTTGTGTGTGTGTGTGTGTGTGTGTGCGTGTGTGTGTGTATGTGTGTGTGTGCGTGTGTGTTTGTGTGTGTGTGTGTGTTTGTGTGTGCGTGTGTGTTTGTGTGTGTTTTTGTGTGTGTATGTGTGTGTGTGTGTGTGTGTGTGTGTGTTGGCCCCTACAGGATTCATGCTAAGCGAGTCTGTAATTCGCTGTATTCCTGCCTCTGCCTGTGAGAGTGGACTGTAGTCGGCCTCCGTCTGAAGGGAAAATCAATAGAGGCGTGTGGGGAGGAGGAGGAGGATCCCAGAAAACTTTTGTCTCGGAAAAAATTGACCAAAAACATCAGCAGGGAAGAAAAGAAGAAGCTTAATAACCACCTTTTCCTGTCGGCTCTTTCAGTAAATTATTCTTTGTACATTTGTATTGACTTGATATGAGTTTATCAAACTGGTGAGACACTGAAAAAAGGTCTCACACTCTGTTTACCCAGGACTGCAAAGTTCAACTATCACTTTAAATATCAAGGAGTTACTTTTTAATAAAGAGTTTAATGTAGTGTGTAAACACCGCTCAAGTTTCCAGACCATTCAGTCCAAATATGGACACTAAGCTGCCATTTATTAACTCACTGATTTTGTGATGTCATAAAAACCAACACATACAGATATCAGCTGGTTTAGCCCCGCCCACTTACACTGAAGTTATAAGGAGTGTTTCAGTCTGGACTGTGTTTTTAATAAGGCGCAATACAGGGCAGCCAATCAGAGTAGAGCTCATTTACACACATCAGTTTTAAAGGCAGCGTAGCAAAACCAGCCTGTTTGGTTCTTAGGGAATCGAACGGTCATGTAAAGATAAATTATGACTGTTTTTGGTGCATAAAACCACAAAGAGCCATAGTGGCCCTCAGGGAGAACAGTAAAAACGAATGTGCAGGATACGACCCTTTCAACTCCAACCCAGATTTAACCGACTGAATCTAATCATCTCTTTATCTCTCTCCCTCTCTCCCCTATTGTATCTGTATCTCTCTCTCTCTCTCTCTCTCTCTCTCTTAGTCTCTCTTGCTCTCACTCTCTCCCCCAATCTCTCTCTCTCTCTCTCTCTCTCTCTCCCTCTCTCCCTCCTTTTGTTTTTTTCTTCTACTATAAAGTTACTGTTATAGAGACAGTTTCAGCTTTTCTTATGACAGTAAAAATCAGAACACTGATTGATTTTCTGCATGGCGTGTTCCCTCTTTGCTAAGATGTGTACTAATTAGAGTTCTTTCCTAGAACCGTAGACCCAAGCTAAGAACCGTTTAGTTATGCTGATTTGTTGAGGAAGTTTGTTTCCACATTGTGCCGGTGTGGGCTCTGCTCTGCACTCTGTACAGTCACGATAAACACAGTTTCAGTTGTGAACGGAATCACCACACCAAGGAAACGAGCACTGCACACCTGCACAAGCTCCACACCTTCAGGTGTTTTCAGGGAAAGTCCAGACTAAACCCGATCACAGAAGAGACTAAACCAGAACACAGTTCTTAGTGTTATTTCACAGTTCTGATGTCTTCACTGTTACTAGGCCAAGAGCCGTTGCTATAATTTTCTGGATTGTTATCCTGAGATAACAAGATAAGTAACTCGTTATTTTAAGATAAAAATGTTGTTAGCTTGAGATAAGTAACTCGTTATTTCAAGATCACAAGATAATTAACTTATCTTAAGATAACTTTTGTTATCTCAAGATAACAAGATAAGTAACTCGTTATTTTAAGATAATGTTGTTATCTTGAGATAAGTAACTCGTTATTTCAAGATCACAAGATAATTAACTTATCTTAAGAAAACAACTTTTGTTATCTCAAGATAACAAGGTAAGTAACTTGTTATTTCAAGATAACAATTTTGTCATCTTGAGATAACAAGATAATTAACTCATTATCTCAAAAATAACAATCCAGAAAATGATAACTACCTCATGGCCTTTCTGGACGCCCGTATACAGGTGCGGGAAAAACCCTTAATCGGCGTAGAACCTTTAGACTTTAAGAAAGTTCTTTAAAGAAGTGCTCATTAAAAAGTGTCTAAGTACACCGAATGTGGTTCCTCAATGGAACTGCTCACTGACACACTCAGTGATGACGCAGTCCAGTGGTCGATCTCTCTCAGTGTCCGCCTGCACTCGGGTGGTTATGGGTCTAACAGGAATTACGGCTAGAAGAGCTTAATTAAGCCTGCAGCTGTCTGATGGAACCGGAGTGCTAACTGAGACAGCTGTGAGAGAGAGGAGCCAAAAACACTGAGGAAGGGGAGGGAATTAAACATACACCGTCCTGTTCAAACATTTGGACGGTACACATAAGCCACAGTTCGGTTCACTCCGCAGTTGGAAAAAAGCAAGAAAAATCCAAATGCATAAGGCTGGGTTTCTTTTCATTTATTTTGAACAGACAGTAGCCAAAGTGACAGTTTCTTCCACCTACACTCTCAGAAATAAGGGTACTGAAACTATCACTGGGGGCAGTGCCCCTCTTGTCACTAGGGTGGTTCCCTTCAAGGGTCCATCTCAGTACCTTTAGTCAGGGAACATAACTGAACCATAATCCACTGAAATGATATGTCCTAAGCTGTACTGACTCCACACACCCCGACTCGTCTCCAGGCTTTTATTTTACTGTTCTGTTTTAAAACATTCGGTTATGAAAAGGTACAAATACGAACTTTTCACCTGGAAAAACTTATTTAAGGTTCACAATCAGACCTTAAAACCACTGTTGTACCTTTGAGGGAACGTTTACATTGTTTGTACCTTGATGAACGAAAAATGTACCTGAACAGAACCTTTATTTCTAACAGTGAAGTGTCGTACAGCGCCCCCCTGAGGCAGCTGCTACAGCCTAAAGTGGCTCTGAACAGGGAAACTCACTAACCTTAACTAATCTGTGTGGTGATAGTTCAACTCCAGTCATGATTTTGTAGAGAAAACACAAAAATATGTACAGCTTTGTGCTGAATCTCTTCACAGTCGCAGAAATACTGGAGGCTGTTTAATTTCAGCTTGTGTCTTTTTTTAAATGCCCTCTCTTTATTTAATGCCATAGCTGCCTTCCTTACCTCTCACTCACTGTTCAAACTCCTCAAACTCGGCCTTGCAGCTGATTGGGGGTCATTAAGTATGACGCTGGTGCAGTTATGAACCCTCGATAGACTGAATCAATTGCCGCTAGCTGCAGAGAAGGGGTCCTCTGCAGACCACTGCTGCTGCTAACTTGGTAACAGCTTACAGTAAAGTTTCCAGGTGGAACTCGCACTGAATTTCAGGCACATACCACAAATTCTCCATACGACTGGATGCATCGAACTGTAGCGTCCATACTGTGATGAATCAAGATGAATGCACATACCGTTACACCCCTAGTTATTATTCTACTCAAAAATATCTCACATAGTTCAGGCTGAAATATCATAAACTGGACAGTGTTCTTTTGGAGAATAAGAAGTTGCTAAAGGCTAAAAAGTATATTATTTATCATAATTTTATTCTATTTGTTCAGTGGGTAGCACTGTCGCTTCACAGCAAGAAGGGTCTGGGTTCGATTCCCCGGCCGGGCAACCAGGGTCCTTTCTGTGTGGAGTTTGCATGTTCTCTCGGTGACTGTGTATGTCTGTGTTTCTGCCCCGTGATGGACTGGCGACCAGTCCAGGGAGCTCCCTGTCTTCTGCCCGATGGCTGCTGAGATAGGGTCCAGCACCCCCAGCCACCCAGGAGGGTAACGGTTTTGATGATGATATTCATTTTATTTCACATTTTATTTGATTTATTTGAACTTCATTCTGGATGGTACTTTTATTCTTGATGTTCAGCTTCTCAGGCATTTTAGATTCATCTCCAGCTCTGTTCATCTTTCTGGACACATCTAATGTTTCTACATTATTACAGCTTCATACTGATTAGCTGAGTAGAGCAATAACATCATATTAGAATCACTTTATTCAGTCATTAGTTTTATAGTACACTGCAAATTATATCCCGGCAAGTGAAATGATCATAAATCTAGTGGATACATCTAATATTCTTCATGTTGAGATTGATATAAGCTTATTATATGATAATTTAACTTATTTCTAGACATCTTTTATGCATTTTGAGTACTTTTATTGAGTAAAAGTATCTCACTGCATTGGCAGATAAATTTGCTTATTGAAAGACTTTATTTTAAGCAAAGTTATCTGCTAATATAGTGAGATAATTTCACTCAATAAAATGACTTCCAATGAGTAAAAAACATCTAGAAATCAGTTGAATCAGCTTATAATATTCATACAACCTCCTCAAAATGAGAAATATTAGATATTTAGACTAGATTTAAGATGATTTCTCTTGTTAAGGTGACATTTTTTTGGAGTGTAGTGCCTGATTGTGGTGGCGGATGTGAGTGTGCGTGTCAGTGTAGAGCTGATCCTCACCTGCCCAGGTTAATGACTCCGCGGGGGATACCAGTGGGGGTACTGAACGCAGGCAGCAGCTTCTCACCCAGCTCCAACACCTTCTGCTTGAACACCTGAGAGACAAGAGAGAGGAAGAGCGAGAGACAATGAGTCATCACATACAGCCTGAACAGGGAGAAAACTCCCTTTTTCAGCCTGATCAGTGCTACATAACGTACAGTCCATTATCACAGACAGTAACACGTTTCTCTGCACAGAAAAGAACAGAAAACTTGGCTTATAACGGTTTATAATGTATCTTTCTCACAGTCATTATGTTGTCACATCAGCTGAAAAAAACAGTAGCATTGTTGACCTTCTGTCTGCGCCGTTTGACTCCCTTAAATGGCCAGGACTCACCAGTGGGTCCAAAGTTTTACTACAAATGTCTGTACTCTAAGAATAGCTCAGCCAGTTTGCACTGAAGTCCATGTAGTTACTGAATAATAAACCTTAGTATGTAATAATCCTGTGATTTTAAGGGGTTAAAAGAGAAGCAATGGAGGGTCAGCCTCCTTCAAAGATCTTCCTTTGGCCTCAGCGCCACAAACAGGGGAGCAGCTACCGTGTCTGGTAGTTCCCTCCAACATGGACGTAAGGCTAGTTCAGGGGTCGGCAACCCAAATGTTAAGAAGAGCCAGTTTCAACAAAAATCTAACCAACTTGGGAGCCACAACGTTTCATGTCCATTTTACTGAAGTAATGTTTCACCATCTTGGCTGTAAATATGTCTGAGTATGTGCTGATGTCTAGTATAGGCTAAAAATATAATTTAAAGGAAAACACAGACTTACTTTGCTCTGCTTTAAGTTTTAGCTCAGCTATAGCCGCTTTTCTCAATTTCAATAGTTTTGAGAAGGTTTTGACATTAAATATATAAATAAAACAGTTATATTTGTGTTCATGTATATATACACAAGGTATATATGCTATATTTGTGTACTGAATTATGGGGAAATTCCGCATTACACACACACACACACACACACACACACACACACACACACACAGACACACACACAGATTCCTTCCCACACACACCTTTAACCTCTCCCCGCACACAAAATTGCGCGCCATTAGCGGCGGTGACAGAGAGAGCATTTCCAGCCTTTTGCTCTTAATGACTCCCCCTTACTCTGTACAAATAAAGCTAATTACGTGGGCCATAAACTCAGACCCAATAGCACCACACCAGCTCTGTGCTGAGATTAAAGGAACAGTTGCGCAAAAATAAAATCTCTTTCATACACGGACAAAAACAAAACGCATATGTTAGTGCACAATTTCTATGTATTTGTCATAAAATAAATCTATTAAAATGTGAAATGTGCCATAACTTTTGCATAGGCCACATTTTATGTTTTATTTCTTTCCCCAATATGTTTAATTCAACAAATACATGGTAAACAGTGTATTAAATTGTGCAGAAGTGTGTTCTCTGCAGAGGACGTGTTCACTTATTCACGCTGTTATGGAAATCAACAAGAACATGCAATTTGACCAGGGGCGCCCAAACTTTTACACAGCTACATATCCTACCATGTCAGAAAACACATAAGAAAATCTATTAGATATTATATACACAATATGAGATAAATGTGTGAATATATATATATATATATATATATATATATATATATATATATATATATATATATATATACACACATATATGTATGTATACACACACACACACGCACACACACACACATATTCTAAACCGCTTATCCTTCTGGGTCGCGGTGGGGTGCTGGAGCCTATCCCAGCTGTCTATATATATGTGATATATATAATATTATATAATATATATATATATATCATATATTGATATATTGTTACATATGTTTTACAAATATATAGTTGTATAAGGCTAAAATATATTTGCTGGTGTGTGCATACATACATAAAGCAATATATTTCAGCCTTATAGAAACATATACATAAGCAAATATATGTGTAAAATATATATTTAACAATATAACAATACGTTTCATTAGTCTCTGTACATTTCCAGCACCCTTAAATATATATACATATGATAGAAAATTATTTATACATGGAGGACATATATTACTCATATATGCACACTTCATTTATATAATAAAAATGCTACTTTTGTGTTTCTTCCACATAATTCTTAATAAAGTAGAGTAGAATAAGTAGAATAGCTTCATAACTAACTCTAAGTATATGCATATTGTAAGTTATGTAATAAGAGCATTAAACTCAAAATAGAAGACGCTGTTCGCTGACAGTTAAATAATTTAATATTTAAAAGCAAACAATTATAACACTTAACAATCACTGAGATGTGTTTAACCACACATCAGACATACGTGTATGATTTATATATTTTCATATGTGTATTGCTATTGCACATGTCTGATATTTGAGACTTACATACAGTGTATGCACACATACTTTGAAATGTGTTCCTGGCCCTGTATGATGTATGTGCATATCACTGCTGTCGGAACAAAACCTCATATCTCCTTTTTTGTCGTTTTCAGTTTTTAACATAATTGCCCTGCTGCCCTTTACATCGTATGTAAATTTCATACTGAATGGACTAAAGTAAACGACCCAAAATGACTTGGAAAAAATTCTGGTTCCATTGACTTACATTAAAAGTAAAGCATGTTTTTTCCTTCTCCTGTAAAGTTACCATTTTGGAGATACGAGGTTTTGACAGCAGTGATATATGGCCATATATCAGATTTCCATATGGGGTCTGACGCTGAGTTAAAGTGGAGCCCTGTTCCCTTCATGTAATAATCAGACATCTGTGCTTCTGTATTCAGTTATAGTTTTGAATCGTTTGTCTAATGAGCATAAAAGCTCGATGTGTTCAAGCTTGAGTTGTTTTTTAGCATCCGGCACTAACCAGAAACTGCAGAGAGTCGTGGAGAGAGTGGGGAGAAATCTGAGTTTTGGAGAGGAACGTCAAAGTGAAGTGCTGCTGCTGCCACTAAATAAACCATAAAATCATTTTTCTAAAGGGCACTTGGGATCTGATGGGGAAAAAACATTGTTTTTGAGTTTTCACCTTCACTTTTTGAAGGGTTCAGACTGCTGACTCACACCACTCACTGTTTCTCCCTCAGCATCATCCACGGCTTCGGTAGAACATCTCACCGAGAGGACTGTGTACGATTTTTAAAGGACTACTTCAGTTCACTGGGTTTACAGGCTTACAATTTAAATGCACGATATTTTATCTAACAAATAAACATGCAAACGCTTAATAAGATGAGTGTTTTTCAGCAGAGCCAATAAATCTGCAGGTACACAAACATACACACACACACACACACAGGTGTTGTTTAACGCTCTCAGGCTCGTTAAGCTACTGAACTGCACTGAGGTCCCCTTCAAAGGCAGATTACCCATAAAGCTTTGCAGATCACTCATAAAGCTTTACATGTTTCACTGGAACTATATCATTCAGAGTCTAATTTCCGCTAACTGCCCCCCCACCCCCACTCCCTCCCCCTGCCGGCCTACACTATCATGTTTTATTGCTGAAACACAATGAAGCGGTTCATCACGGCGCCGCAGTCAGAGAGGGCGGCCCAGACTCACAGTGGACACAGAAGGTCAAACTCCACATGTTCTCCTTCACTTCGCCACCACAACCGGGACAAAACCGAGCCTGCTTAAAGGGATCGTTCAACTGCTTAGCTAAGACGGCTAAGAACGAATGGAAGATAGTTGTGCAAGTTAGCACAGTAGCATTTTTGGACAGTTAGCACTGAATGATTATAAAAATAAGATTTTAAGGGATGTAACAGCGCAGCGTACAAGACAGACTCTCCATTCCACACGAGGTTACTGAACAAACATTAAAAAATCCTGCTGAAAAAACCCCATAGAAACCATTAAAAGTTTTTATAGGTTCCTGGTGGTGTCCAGTAGTCGCTAATGGTATTTTTGCATTTTTCTGATGGGTTGATATCACGTTGTAAAGGATTTTAATAGTTTAATAGGTGTTCTAGGTGTCCTACAGGAAACTAGTGGTCTCTAATTGTCTTTTTCCAACAGCAAATACATTCATATATTCAGCAAATTAAGCTTGCGGTTAGCTCATTAGCTAGGGGCTAGCATGTTAGTTTACAGTGGGTGTATTAGTAAGATAGCACATAAGTTCAGGGTTAGGGTGTTAGCAGAGCTGGTTTATGAGGAGTCTGGCCTCTTCCTATTTCCCTCATTATATCAAAAACAGGACTGCAAAACAGCAGAGGGCGCCCGGGAGCGAGTCCTCGATGAATGGGGCTGAATAGAGCTAAACGGTTAAAAACGATAAGTTAAAATAGTTTCTAATCTCTCGCCCAGAACCTTCCTTTAATTTTAGACAGTAGAAGGATGGATTTCACTAAAAAAGCAAAGAAATCTCACCTGTATATTTCCTTTTTCCTATAGCAAACGGGTTTTGGGCAGCAGGATGCTAACATTACTGCTGCTGAGTGCTGATTGGTTGGTGAGCGGAGCAGCTCATTGGCTGTTCGCGCTCACTGACATCATGAACGTACATGAGGCGCCGTTTTAAACTCCTATAACTCGAGTTTAAAAGCTCTCAAAAATATAACAGCAGTGTTAAAATGTTTTACACTGCTCTGTATATTAAAAATGTTTAAGCATTCATAAACTATGACAGTCCTCAAATGCTCCATCTTAACCCATTCATTTTAGCGCCCTCTAGCGTTTGAGAAACCCAGAAGACATTAGAGAGTGGTAAATCTCCTCCCTACAAGTTCTCTGGTGTTAGTTCTCAGTTAGCGCATTAGCTGGGTTTTAGGTTTTAATCCTAATAGTTCCAATGGTCTTTTTTCAGGGAGAAGGCTAGGACGTTAGTTCATGGTGAGCACATTAGTTTGTGGTTAACTCTGTAACTTGGGGCTAGAATGTTAGCACAGGTCTAGGGTGTTAGCTTAAGGTTTGCATGTTATTTCAGGGCTTTGACATTAGCTTGTTAACATTTTAGTCCTATAGTTTACTGTGAGATATTACACAAGTAAATATACACACTGATCAGGCATAACATTATGACCACCTCCTTGTTTCCTTGGTGGATCAT